AACAAATAAATAATCAAGCAGTACGTTTAACTATAATATATACATTCTTATTTTAAAAGTATTCTCCATTTTTTTTTTATGTGACTGTAATCTGATTACATCTTTTTTTAATGTAATGCGTATTCCCTTTACATATAATCCGTTACTCCCCAAGCCTGCATGTGCATATATACTTTTTTCTATTGGATGGTGGGAGTATCCGTGTGAAAACCCAAGTTGTGTGTTTGGCAGGAGGCCAACACTAACAGCCGTATCAGATGCGATATATCTCCAACACCTCCAAAAGTCACTGTCATAACTCATTCTCTAGTGTGCCATAAAAATACCCCCAGAAAGAAATCTTACATTCTATTGGCATAACCTCTGACTCGTGGGAGCTCCACTTTCTGTCAGACCCTCAGCTCGGGGGTTTCAGTTGGTTTTTCAGTCCCAGAGGCCACGCTGGCATGTCATCAGTATGCGCAGTATTTGTGGTAAACTGAGACGGGTTGGATAGATGGGCAGAGGTCGTGCCCTTGTCTTCGGCAGGGTCCTATCCCCTGAGCTCACTGCAAGGTGTCTTATCTGGACCGCCAGCCTCTGATCTGCACACACATCAATGTGCTGGAGTAAACTCATCACAGCGAGGATTTGACCTCAACTAGGTCAGTGTTATCTAGCTTACCGTTTATTCGTCTTTTCCCGGGTCAACTCCAAAGAACCGATATCAGAACCAGACGCTCGTCTAGGATGTGCTTCTGTCCCTCTTAATCTTCAAGAATGTGTGAAAAAACCAGCCTCATACGGATGAATAATGCAGCTGATGTTTTATTACCAGAGGTGGGAAGTAGTGGAGTACAAATACTTTGTTACTTTACTTAAGTACATTTTTCTGGTATCAGTACTTTACTCCACTACTTATTTTTCTGGCGACTTTTTACTTTTACTTCTTACATTTTGAACACAAATACCTGTACTTTCTACTTCTTACATGTTGAACACAAATACCTGTACTTTCTACTTCTCACATTTTCAAAACAGACTTGTTAGTTTTAATCTGTGTTTGGTGCGTGATCATTATTCTTTAGAGTCATTGCGTGCCTATTGATTTGAACACAATCCGTGTATCCATCATTTCCTGGTCTTCTCTAAAGAAGAGGGACCAATGAAAACTCGGCTCGATTATTGTTCTATTAATATAAAGGGAGGTCAGGTACTCTTTAAAACAGTTGGTAGTTATGGGTACTTTTTACTTTAGTACATTTCGAAGCCCATACTTCTTTACTTTTACTTGAGTAAAGAAGTTTAGTTAGTACTTCTACTTTTACCAGAGTATTTTTAAACACAAGTATCTGTACTTCTACTTGAGTAAAGGATGTGTGTACTTTTGCCATCTCTGTTTTTTACTGAAAACCCTATTGGGCTATATTAGTAATCCACGATTTTGAACAGTAATCTGATTACGTATTTTTTTGATGTAACTGTAAGGGATTACAGCTACCTTTTTTTTTGCTTCCTTGTAACGTAGTCCCGTTACATGTAATCCATTGGTTTGAGTGTCTTTCAACAGAAGTGTATTTTCTTTTTTCCCCCCAAAGCACTGGGGGACGGCGCTCATACAGTATGTTCAATTTTTCATAAAGGCACATGAGGAGGGGACTGGATATGGGAATCAAGCCGCGCACGAGGCGGGGAAGCTCTTCCCTCGGCAGCTACAGAGTGCCTGCGTATCAAACGCTCTCACACACATGAGTAAACATGGCCAGATAAACATCAGTGAGAAGCTGCGGTCATAGAGGAAGAACATCAGCAAACACATCTCCTGCCAGGTTAAACCTCGCTAAGCCAACAACACATCAGAGCAGCACAAATCTATATTGTGTCCAATACTGGTCATCTTCTAAATGGCTTTGGGTGTTCTACATACAGTTTTAGAAGCAAAAAGTGTATATAGGCAGCTGTTGGACAAAGCAAATAAACAACTGCATTGACTTAGAGATCTCCTATCATGCTATTTTTAGGTATATATTATGGGTCTCAGGTATATACAAATATATTAAAAACAATGTTATGATGTGTTTAGCTCAAAATACCAAAGACATCATGCATTTTAGACATCCCTCATATCCCTCTATTTCAGCCCTGTTAGAGAAGTGCTGATTCTGGGTATTACTTCCAAAACACGTCGCACATTGTTTCTGAAAGCGATGTTTTTGAGGAAAAGAGAGGGTTTTCTGACACTGTGAGTTCCCTGACACACCGGGGACACATATGTATGTATAGAAGACATCAAAAAGTGCATTTTGCATGATAGGAGACCCTTAAAATAGATTTCTTAAACCATCAACTGATTCAGCAGACCACTTTTGTCACCACAAAGTCTCCTTCAGATTTATTCTGTGAAGGCACTACTTCTTGCTTGTGGAACACCTTCTGATTTACTATACTTTGGAGGTGATAACACACTCCTTTATGAGCTAACAGACATTTTAACCTCTGTCAGGAACTGTTGGGCTTTTGCTCGAGCGCACTAGTTCTGAGAAATAAAGTCTCAAGTCGGTAAATCCAGAGTATTTTTCAGTCTTCACGTGAGCACCTGGGCCTCGTGGGAACGCTTCAGCTTTCACTAACGCCGTAAAACCGTCAGGAATAATGCCTGGCTGAAGATATAACGCGCGGCATAACATACATGAGTCATGCATTAAATCTTAGCCTTAAATCCCCCCCCTCCCCCCCACACTTCACATGACAACAAGCACGCCGCATTCTCTGCATTCCTCCATGTGCAGCGAGGATTATTTCAGTGCCCTGTCATTAGGAGAGGTCTACGCGATGACAACACAGATTTAGGCAGCTTTACCTCACGTTTGATGTGGCCTGTAAATATTTCCCCTGACATAGGGGCTTTCGCAAACAAGGTCCCCCTTTGTGCGGCAGCCATTATGAGATCATGTTGCTAATGGTCTTTCGGAGACGCACGTTCTACCCCCAGACAATTTTCTTGAGAAAACAGTCACACAAGGCGAGATAGCAGGGTGGGAATAAAGCATAAGCTGTCATTAATAATTCATGCACAATTGTTTTAGGATATACAAGCAACCAGCTTCATCAAATCCAATGTTTTCAATTCCAAAAGAGCAACATGAACATGGCCGTCGTTTCTGCTATTGATTAACTGCCTTTCGGAGCCAACAGTAAATTTAACTTTGGGAACTTAGCTCAGCGGTAATGGCTTTCCAGCTTGGGTGTGAGTGGCATTCTGGCTGCATGCTTGGGGCACTGTTATTTAACACTGCAATTGGTTGCTTTCCAAACATGTAAAGTTTACAGTCAAAATTAACATTGGCAATGATGGAAGAGATAATGAAAAAAGTTGATGTTTGTGCAGTGGAAAGTTTGATAGGAATGGGAAAATGTGGCACCACGCTGTTAGGCATCGATCTGTTGTCGTGCTTTGGCGTCGGCCCGATTTCACTAATGGTCACCCAGAGTGCCCTTGAGTGGCATTTTGTCATGTTCTGCTGGCCTCTATCGTTTTCCAACCCAGTTGAGATTTAACCACGCCCACTTCCGCATCAACGTAGCTCTGCGTGACTGCGTCATGGATGTGTAAATCGGCAATGGTCTTGGGCAAACGGAATATTTTGTTATCCTGGCGGTGTTGGAGTGTAGAGGGTGAGCTAAGGGTTATGGTGTTCAAGTGGTGGACTCAGAGATTAAGCACGATTATCGAGAGACAAAACAACTGTACAGTATTTAACAGCAGCTACAAAACATCTGGACTAATGTGAGTTAACTCTCAAGGCCACATGTTTATAAAAACCCATGCTGTGAACAGGAGAATTTGAAGTCTGGTCAGGCCCCGAAGGTGGGTCAAAATCTGTCCCAAGACGAATTATTAAAAGTTCTTCAGCTGTGTTAAAGGCTTGCAGATACATATAACTGATGTTTTTGGTTGCCTTCACAATGTGATTCCCCAGACACGTGCATTGTTTTGATACTGTTATTCCAAAAGTTGCTATTATTATTATTATTTATGCACATGCTAATGTTTAATTTGTATGCAATCACAACAGGGGTCTTCAGGAAAGTTGCCTCAGACACAGTGTTTGTGTTTCCATTTCCTGGTGTTTTTTTATTTACAAGAATTGGATCGTGTTTGTTTGTGCCACTGACTCATAAGAACAATGAGGATATAAAAGCAGCTAAGAAAAACAAATTCTCAATAAAGAATGTTTTATGGAATCCTCATGAAAAACAAAATATATCTTTCACACACACTACATTTCCTTCTTTACTGAGATTCCTGCCCTGATGACCTCTTCATGGGAATCCCCATTATTCAATTACACTCTTCGCTCACATGACCACACTGTCTAGAAATCAATGCAGAGCATCTGCCCCCCTGAGATAAGCGTTTACCCTGGAGATGCATCACGAGCTGTCAAGCGAACATCTAATTAATTAGTCTGAAAGTTAGACCACACCGATCTGACAGTCACAACTGGCTGTGTTCTGTGCACCTCAAATGTCTGAAAACACAGATGGTTGAAGTATGGTGGCCTATTTCTTACAGTTGCACTTCCCCCCTCCTGTAGTCGGACCACTACGAGGCAAATCATTAGGCCGTAGCCAAGAAAACCTGACATCTGTTTTCTCCATTCTGCTCTTAGCCTTACCTCATTTCGTCCTGTGCTGTAACTCAGTAGCGCACGTTTTTGTGAGCATGGACTATTCCCAGCTGACATTACACAGCTGGGCTCGCTTCTGAGCCAGAAGTTACCCAGAGGTGCTTCTGGAGTTACACACAGTGAGAAGGAGAGACTAAACTGATTAATCACACCTTTTTTCAAAAGTACTACTGTTCCTTACACATCGATGAAACAGTGGTGGATATTTACAGTCCACAGCATCAATGTTTAGTATGAAAACCGTGTTTTCCTGTGTTTCCAATTAACCTGAGCGTTTGCACACTAGCTCCATTGTTTACTGTTGGCTTTTTTCTCGTCTCTTCTTGGCAGGAATACATGGACGCCAACAAATGCATCGACGAGCTTCTCAAGCAGCTTGAGGATGAGCGGCGTAATGTCCGAAGGTAAGAGGCTCTTAAGATTTTCGGGCAGATGTTTATTACCGAAAAGGACATCTGCAGCTGCCTGCAATCCATTCCCAACCGCAGGCAGCTGAACAATGTTGTTGGTTTTGAGCTGGAGACAAGCTTTGTACGCGGTTCTTGAGAAATGTTTTTTGTGTTGGAAACACACTAAAAAAAGTGGCAGACAAAGGAGGAGACTCTGGTCCCAGTGTGGGTTACCGGGGGTATTTCTCATGGAGGTCCTTTCGGAGCAGATTTGCACGGACAATGAGAATGAAGAGCTTATGGAGATGCCAATCTAATGACCTTGTCCCCTGCATGCTCCTATCATCCTCGCCTTTGCACCCCCATACAGAAAGAAGAGACCATTTTTTAAACTTCACCCTCTTTTGTAAAACCCTCAATGGAGCTGTATTCCCCCGACTCAAAGTAATTTCCCCCTGAGTGAGCATAGAAGGACTGGGGGTTGGACACTTGGGTATAGGGGTCTCAGGGTGGGTGACTTGGGGGGGGGGGGAGGGTGGATGACCGCTGACCATGCCATTTACTAGGCCAGGCCAGCCCCTTAATAAAGGAAGTGATGTGTAAAGGAATGACCCTCCAATCTGTCATCCCCACCCCTCTTTATAAGACAGGGTAGTCATCTTTGGTGACACCCAGGGTGACCTGATGGCTACTTGGAAAGACCGACCTACAAAATACTTTTAGTCCATGAACTTGCACTCACTTTAACTAATTTGAGTGTCCATTTTTCCCACCATTCACTCGGTGTTGATGTATTTTTTTTCTGACATGACATGAATTAGTGCCTCTGCCTTGTAGACCCAAGAGTATTTTACTGTCATATGAGAGCTGTATTTGCCCTTGTGTCTAGAGCTGTCTGTGTAAACTTACTTCAAACTTGAAGTGAGATTTAAAGTGAGGATGGTTTTAAAGTGAGGATCAGATAAGAAGCCATCACATGCTGGAGAGTGCTTAGGGCAGAGCTAAGAATGAAGACAATGCTAGTTTCCATTCCACCAGGGCTTCCTCCAGTCTTCCACGGGACTCTTTCACAAGTTGAGATGAAACCATCATTAAAATGGAACCACCACATATTCAGCTAGTTCTTTTGAAAACCCCTTATGTCTCTGAAGCACACATTTTTCCTAGAAACAACATACCACCAGGCAGGATTTGTTTCATTTATTTTCCAGCGTTGGTGAATTCAGAGCGTCGACAGTGATAAATGACTTCACAAAGGCTTTTGTTCAGCTAAAACATAGACCGCAGCTCAGGAAACGCCTCCTTATCCTTATTAAGCAGCATCTCACGATTGCTATAGATGTGTCCCTCCACCCCTCAGAACATGGGGCCCATCAACCCGTCAGTAGGAGAAAGAAAAGCCCTTAAATTCCTCTAGTCCTCTGCATCCCTACTTCATGACCCAGCGACCCACTGCATTCATGTCTTCCATTGTAAGGTATTACAGGCTAGTTTCACACTGGGGAAGTACACAGATCATGAATTTTTTTAACTACTTTTATGAGTTGGTAAGGATGTAAGTATATCAAATACCCTTGTTGTGTCAAATGGATATACAAGACTTGTGTTTAAGCCTTAAAGGTATTTAACATGAAAAAACCAACATCATTTCAAGCCTTGAGGCAGAGATGGAAAAAGTACACACATCCTTTACTCAAGTAGAACTACACATACTCGTGTTCAAAAATACTCTGGTAGAAGTACTTACTCAAGTAAAAGTAAAGAAGTATGGGCTTCAAAATGTACTTAAGTAAGTACCAACTGTTTTAAAGAGTAACTGAGCTCCCTTTATATTAATAGAACAATAATGTAATTGTTAGCTAATGAATGTTTCCATGCTGAACAACGGCAACATGACAACGTTTCCATTGGTCCCTCTTCTTTAGAGAAGACCAGGAAATGATGGATACGCGGATCGTGTTCTAATCAGGCACGCAATGACTAAATAATAATGATCACGCCACCAAAAGCAAAGTACCAGAAAAATGTACTTAAGTACAGTAACAAAGTATTTGTACTTCCCACCTCAGCCTAGAGGTCACCAGCGTCTAGTAATGGAAGGATGTTTTGATAACATATACACACAAAGATCCAGCTCATCTTTGATTGCATGTCGAAAGCATCTGCTGCATCCTCGACATCCTAAAGCCCTTACGCACGCACGCACGCACGCACGCACGCACGCACGCACGCACGCACGCACGCACGCACACACACACACACACACACACACACACACACACACACACACACACACACACACACACACACACACACACACACACACAGTCCCTCGCGTTCAGTTGCAGCATCATTGCTCGATGAAGCACAAAACCCCAGTGGGATGCTGGCCGGGCTTTTCCTGCTCCCTCTATTCAATGTGGCCCTGTCCTTGACAGACTGAAACAAAAGCTCAGCGGTACAGTGTCAACATCAGATGGCACGAATCCAAAATGTGGCAGCGCTAGATGCAGCGTACAGTAGGACGCTGACCCGGGGTTTCCAGTTATTCAGCACATGTTTGCAATCATTAAATGGCATCAAATGTCTTTTTTAAAGGTTAACAATATCATTAGTGGTGGCACTGAACACACAGTTGTAGGCTAAATGGAAAATGTGAGTTTATTAAAGACGTGTGCTGAGTGGCAGACAAGTGTGGGAGACATATGGATGTTCTGCAGAGTTAAAAAGCATGACGGGTGGGAGTGACCTCTTTCTGACAAGCTGCTGTGTCAAGGCACCGTGACTGTATAATCTTTCCCGTGGATTAAAACAATGTAGATTAGATTTTTTTCCACGCTCACGCTCAGCTTCGACCTTTATTCCCACTCTTGATTTGTAAGCCTGACTCCTCTTCTGACCCTGTTTTTGGTGGTTCAAGTCTGGCTAGTATCATGCTGGCCTCACCTGCCATGTTTTGCCCCAAGCAGATGGTGTTTGTCTGGGACTCCTTCCACACCTTTTGAGGAGGGAGGAGAATGTTGTTTCCGAGAGACCAGGAGGTGTGGAGGGGGAGGGGGGGAGACTCAGCTGGAGATCCAGAGGGGTTTAGGACAGGTTGTGTGGAGCAGGCAGCTGCAGGGAGGACATTAGCGACGACATCTGCTGATCAATAAGCTATTTGTCATGTTCATAGAGGAACTGCGCTGCGATGTCGGCAAAGATGGTGAGTGGAGATAAGATGTGAGGGATTATAGGTAATATGACTTACTTTGTGTAAATCAGGGGTGCTTTCCAAAATACTACAACCGAATCGGCCCTCGGCATATTCAAAAGGTATAATAAGATGTGGCCCACAAACAAAATGTTCAAATACATTTAGTCAATCAAAGTTGGAAACATTTAAAAAAAAATCTAAGTTGATTTAGAAAAAAGCCCAATAATGTATTTACATAACACGCTTGAAATAAAGCCTATTATGTAGCAATCTGAGGCTTCTGTTTTAAGGGATGAGCTGCTGACACCTTTTGTAACAAAATAAAGGAAACCCTCTGGAGAGCTGTGATGTAGGCTGTTTTTTTCTTAAGGCATTTTCCAATAACAAGCATAATTTACCTACCGTTGATTGATTTTGCTAACTTATAACTGAACTTATGAGTGGCCCTTGTGGACCAGTTTGTTCTGTACTGGCTCAACATGTTGTCCATTTGCCCTTGGCCAATAAAATAACAAAGCCCTTAACTAATTTACTCAATTCCAATGTCTCAACTGAAGTTTAAGACTTTCAAAAATGCCTTTTTAAAAAGCTCTTTTAGTGACTTTTAGTGTTCCCCTAAAATTGTCAGTTCGCAGAGTGGATAAGAGAGAAAAAAAATGTGTGTGAAAAAGACCACAGGAGCATGAAGCTGGGAAACAGCTTTACAAAATGTGGACCGTGCTGATGTTACTACAAGGCATATCTGGCCTCAAAGACGCCTGTGTGCTGCCGGCGGTCTGAGCCAGATGAAAGGCTGTAATCCTCGGCTGAAGTATGTGGCCAAGCCTGTTTCTGTGCATGAGGAGGTGGATAGCCTCCCGCTAACCAACGCCCCAAGGATCCGCTGTCTCGCTTGGGCGATAACCAATGCTTTTTACAACTTTAATTGGATAAGTTGACCGGCCTAATGCAATAATTTGATCATACTAAGCTCCAAAGAGATCTAATACACTCCCAAAGTATGTTTGTGTGCCCTCTGAAGTGAATGACTTAGCCTAATCCGTCCATTAGAGGTCACTTTTACGGCCCAGGAGTCCTGACTCTGAGATATCTCCAAGGAACTGTGTACATAAATCAAACCGTTCATCGGGCACTGGTGGAGAAAATCAGTGGGTGTTTTTCTTTGTTTCTCTAGCAATGAGAAATGGATTTCTATCTAGCATAGCTTTGGTATTGTTGCATCTTGTTGATTCCAGCAGTGATTTAAGATGATACCGCCAAACACTCGCTGCTTTATCTCTGTGAAGATTCACTAACTATGTCTGGCTTTTGGAAACACTTGTCTCCCGAGCCCTGTAAACGCCACACGCTGCTACCCTGATTCATGTGCAAAGCCTGGGCTCGGCTCAAATACATGCATCAGTTTTATGGAGCTTATGAGAGGGAAGAGGTTAATGGAATGGGTTAATGAAGCCTTTTACTGAAGCTCCCTCAAGGTCGTTTAATAGCGGCATTCCCATGCACACTAGGCAAGAGTGCTTAAGCAGTGATATGCGGCCTCCTTCTCCACATATCATTCACCATTAGCCTCCATGTTCCTGTTCGAGAACATTCAAGGTTAAGTATAAAGCGAAGCAGCTGTTTACCGCACTTATTCTGAAAAATATCCGTTGGTGGAGCTAACCTTTCCTGCAGATATATATGTGTTGTAATCACCACTTTTTGTTAGTGGTTTCACAACATGCATATGCAGTGTTTTATATGACTTGAGACACGTACTCTTGGCATTCGGATTCAATGGGGGTATTATCTGCATTCCTAGAAGCAATTAGCTGTGTTT